AGATCCGCGAGATGATTCACCTCGCCTGGACCTATTGATTTCCTCAGCATTCATATATTTTTGAGCTTTTGCCAATAATTCTGGCATGCTCTTTGGTAGTCGCTTCATTACTGAAAAAAGGAATCTGGATGAGTGGAAGCCTCCCAGAAAGGTGGTTATGGTGACTTTGTCATTGGGCTCCTCGATTTAGAGGACCTCCTCGTTAAAACGAGTGAGGTAACTCCTTAGACTCTCGTCTCGATCTTGTTTTATGTTGAGCAGATGGGTGGCAGGCTTTTGTTGGCAGCGTCCATCAATGAACTATGCTACAAATGATCTACTCAATTCGACAAAGGAGCCTATAGAGGTCGGGGTGAGTTTGGCAAACCATTATCGCGCTGATCCCTTTAAGTTGGGAATGCCCTACACATAATTTCGTCGGGGACGTTGTGCAATTGCATTAAAGACTTGTAGGTTTTGAGATGATCAAGTGGATCCTTTATTCCGTCAAAGGTTTCCACAGATGGCTTTTTGAGGGAGGGAGTAGTTCGCCACGTTAGGTTTGAAATGCGTGTTTGTCTGCCTTACGAGGTAGTCCACTGTCTCGGGTCCCTGCGCCTTCATGGCATTGAAGACGTCACCCAGTTGATTTTGCACTTCCTTAATTCTCTCGTCCCAGTGATTGGGGGTTCCTTTGGAATGTTCATGAAAATGACTCTCATGCTCCATGCTTTGGTTTTCGCCCTCATCTTCTTGGAGATGAGGGTCTTCACCATGGGAAGTAGGAGGAGGTGGAGGTCCCTCATGAGGGGCTCCTCTGTGTGGGGTGCCCAAGGGGACTCCAAATGGGGCGCCCAGACCTGCATGGACACCCAAATGGGGAATAGTAAGTTGTGGAGCTCTTCGATGTCCAGGGCGTGCAGCTCCTTGATGTCCAGGGCGTACAACTCCTTAAGGTCCAAGCCGTGGAGCTCCTTGGGGTCCTCCATGCTGTGCACCTCCAAGTTGTGCTCCTCCTTGTCCAACGAGCATGAGTTGCAGTATCTGTTGGTTTTGGGCTACTAGCTGCCGCATGGTGAAGACAGAGTTGGTAAATGGAGGAATAACCTCCTCCTCTCGTGGAGGATTGTCTTTAGGTTGGTTCATGGATCTAGTAGTGATCGTCATTGGTTCAGCAAATGAAATGTTTAGAAGTGAGAATTTTGTCGTTTTCCACAGACGGCGCCAAACTGATGATGCAAAAAATGGNTGCATGGACACCCAAATGGAGAATAGTAAGTTGTGGAGCTCTTCGATGTCCAGGGCGTCCAGCTCCTTGATGTCCAGGGCGTGTAGCTCCTTGATGTCCAAGTCGTGGAGCTCCTTGGGGTCCTCCATGCTGTGCACCTCCAAGTTGTGCTCCTCCTTGTCCAACGAGCATGAGTTGCAGTATCTGCTGGTTTTGGGCTACTAGCTGCCGCATGGTGAAGACAGAGTTGGTAAATGGAGGAATAACCTCCTCCTCTCGTGGAGGATTGTCTTTAGGTTGGTTCATGGATCTAGTAGTGATCGTCATTGGTTCAGCAAATGAAATGTTTAGAAGTGAGAATTTTGTCGTTTTCCACAGACGGCGCCAAACTGATGATGCAAAAAATGGTTTTGCATATCCCCTGTCAAGTGTAAATAATAAATGCAAGAAAATAATATCAGGAGATAAAGAGACACAGACAATTTATAGTGGTTTGGTCAGCTTAACCTATGTCCACCCTTCAATGACTCTGGTTGCCGGGTATTTTATTAACTCAAGGGTGTGGGGAGCAGAGNAGCTGCCGCATGGTCTCCAACATTTGTTGTGGATTTGGAGCTGGAGCATTTGGGACAGAGTTGGTAAGTGGAGGAATAACCTCCTCCTCTCATGGAGGATTGTCTTTAGGTTGGTTCATGGATCTAGTAGTGATCGCCATTGGTTCAGCAAATGGAATGTTTAGGAGTGAGAATTTTGTCGTTTTCCACAGACGGCGCCAAACTGATGATGCAAAAAATGGTTTTGCATATCCCCTGTCAAGTGTAAATAATAAATGCAAGAAAATAATATTAGGAGATAAAGAGACACAGACAATTTATAGTGGTTTGGTCAGCTTAACCTATGTCCACTCTTCAATGGCTCTGGTTGCCGAGTATTTTATTCACTCAAGGGTGTGGGGAGCAGAGAGTACAAGCTTTAAGGGAGAGGAGAGAGTCGTGCTCAGATAAAATGTGATTTGCCCCCCAAGTATTGGTGGAGTTTACAATTTATAGTTGTCCTCTTAACAGATTTGAGCAATATATTAGTAAGTAATTGGCTAGTTTGTTAGATCTGGCGAGTTATTCTCAACGTGCTAGGCAGTTGCGGTGCTCTCCATGAGATTCGGTCAAAGGATGAGGTGGGAGTGTTGACCATCTCCAGGGCAGCGAGGATAGGGCTTTGGATGACCTTGCTTGCTCCCTTAACTCCTTGAGCTGCTAAGCTTGACCGGGCTGACCGGGCTGAGCAATATATTAGTAAGTAATTGGCTAGTTTGTTAGATCTGGCGAGTTATTCTCAACGTGCTAGGCAGTTGCGGTGCTCTCCATGAGATTCGGTCAAAGGATGAGGTGGGAGTGTTGACCATCTCCAGGGCAGCGAGGATAGGGCTTTGGATGACCTTGCTTGCTCCCTTAACTCCTTGAGCTGCTAAGCTTGACCGGGCTGACCACACTGATGAGTTTGATCGGGTAGAGCTGATGAGCTTGACCGGGTTGGCCACATTGGGCTGAATTCGCTGAATCTCTTAGAGTCGGACTATAAACTTAAACTGGGTTTATAACATGAGTTGGGCTTTTGGACTTGGCCCATCACAACTAATCAAAAAAACAATTAACAAAATAATACCTATAAAACTAATTACTGATCGAACCCTAATTATAAAGAAGTTTGAATGCTTACTTTTTGGCAACCAATAGAGACCACCCACTGCTCTAAACAATGACAGGTTGCGGCATAGCACCGATTTTTTCTTGATTCCAGAGTTGATGTCGAAGTTAAAATTGGATCTTTTCATAAAAATAAATTTTCCGCGACTAACTGCGAAAAGAAAATCAATTACTAAATTACAAGAAAATTTTTTTTAACAAAAATCCCACCCGAAATTGAAAAGTTACAAAATACCCAAATTATCAATTGATTTTTAGCTGCATAAAATAAGAAAAATACTAATATAAGCATCATATAGGAATTTCAAGGCTATTCATTTCACTATAGTGCAATTTACAATTCATAACGTATGAATAGATAATGACCAAAATACTAAAATGCCTAAAAGGAACCTGGATGGACCAGTATAGAGAGGTACTACTACNACGTATGAATAGATAATGACCAAAATACTAAAATGCCTAAAAGGAACCTGGATGGACCAGATATCTCTCCATGATGATGGAGAAAGCTGTAGTGAGCCACGAACGTATCGCTCTATTTCTTCTTAATGAGATGCGAGACACTTTCGTACCTCAAATTTTTTAGGCTAGAGGTTAGAGACAGGCAGTGACATGACCTTGTATAGCCTATACAAACATGGTTAAGGAATTTCATGTCCAAATTGATGGGTTAAACCCACAGCAGGAGAGATTGTGCACCTATGTGAGATTATTGGGCATAATGTCGTGTTAGAGTGCATAAGACCTATATATACAATCAAAATAAAAAAATTATTTATACCGATTTAGCATAATTTTCCTCCATTGACCAATATAGAAAAATGCCAAGCACCAACAAAAAGAAAGATTCATTCTGCCAAACAATAACAGTCAAGATTAAAGAGGAACATGGGTATTCAAGCTAACAAAACTTAAAGGTTTTCGAACATATTTAGAAGGTCAAAATTCGACAAAGAAACTAATACAAAATGTCATAATGTAAGCATTAAAATTGTACATATACCTCATAGGCTGAAATTTAATTGTAACCGAAATGCTCATCCATCAACGAAGAATTAATCAACCTACAACATCCATACCAAAAGTTAGTTTCACTCCTAAATAATATAGAAAAAGTAATAAAGCATATACTCCTATGATCTCAAACTATATTTAATGCCAGTACTTTATGTGAAACTTCCATGTGGATTTTAGGCCCCCCAAAAAGAGTTGCCTAGAAGGCATTTTTGTTTGTCACTTGTGAAGTTTATACCATTTGTTGGTATAGCAATATGCTCTTACATTAACAAAAATTGAGTTCATGAGAAAGTAACTGTTTCCGTAACTCAAACATAAAATGCCGAAGTCACAATATATAATTGAGGTTGCATATGAGTTGGCATTGAGTGTAAGTGCATCAAATTTGGTCCTAGTGATTAAGGAATCGTTCATCTCTAAACATGATTTTTAAACACGTTCTAAGGACGAATTTCACTGATTGGGTTGTATTCCCTTCATAAGAGTAGATTACATCAGTTGGTATTTGTATCATTTTTATACACTGTATATGAGTTTATTCTTGATCATGAATGTCATTGTATGGATAAAATTTTAACTTCTTAGCTGATTTATTATATAGATATCTTGATTCCAAAACAAAAATCAAAGTCAATATGAACATACATGAACCATAGAAAGGAAAAATAATTCACCGTGGCATACATACCAGTAGCTCATGAGAAGAGTCATCTGAAGAAGTTGTCTCTTGCCTTGATCTTCTTCGTTCAAGAGGAGCTGAGGAAATAAATAGACAAATTCACTGTGTAACCCATAAACAAGCAAATAAATAGAAAACATAAACACAATTGTGCTCAAACATAATTCTCGGTATAACACTGATGAAAAGCAGAAAGAGGAAGGAAATCAAAAACTCAAATAGAAAAGAAACGTACTTACAGACATTTTAATGGGTCTGAACTCCTGCAGCAGCATTGAGCATCCAAAGAGAGAACATGGTAGACTCTGATGCCAAAACTACCACCATTTAGCATATAGTGACTACCGTACCATATCAAGCAATAAAGGCAATCATAGATATGTGTGTGTGGGAAGGGGTGTAGGTGGTGGTGATTGGGACAGTAGGCATTTTGACGAACACTTCATGTGCATTACGACAAACCCATGACTGCTACCACCATCCCCCTTTTCCATATCATTTGCGTCTCAGAGAGAGAGAGACCATCCCAAATGTAATCGACACAATGGTCGCTACCTGTGAAAGAGAGGCAGATAGTGATATGTGTGTGTGTATCACCATCGTTTAGGAGCAGTGGCTGTGTGGGTGCTGTGTGTTGGGGCTAGGCTAGTAAAGGGGCAGAGAGAGAAAGAGAAATACCTGGCACTAGCAGCGGTGGCTGAAAGAAATCCTTGGCAGCAGTGGCTGAAAGAAAAAATCGAAGGGGAAGTGAAAGAAAAGAGGGAGCTAAAAGAAAAAACCAAAGGAGAAATGACCATGCCATAGATTTGGTAAAGTGATCGTGCCATGAATTTAGGGAAGTGACCGCCTGTCTCGCCACCTGATTGTGAGGTGAGGGAGGATGTGAGATGAGAGAGAAAGGACTGAGATGAGAATAAAGAGGGAGGAGGTGAGAGAGAGAGAGGACATCAAGGAGNGCCACCTGATTGTGAGGTGAGGGAGGATGTGAGATGAGAGAGAAAGGACTGAGATGAGAATAAAGAGGGAGGAGGTGAGAGAGAGAGAGGACATCAAGGAGCCGTTGGGTTTGTGTGTTGCAGGAGCCATTGGGTTTGGGTTGGGCTGGGTTGGATTGGAAGTGATGGTTGGATTGGGTTGGATTGGAAGTGATGGTTGGATTGGGTTGGATTGGTTGGGATGGTTTTGGGGGAAAAATATAATAGGAATAAAATTCAAAGTGGTAGTTGTTTTATTATATAGAGCATACATACACACACACATATAAATTTAATTAATTTAAATTTTATCTGATACATATTTTTCCCCCNCAAAGTGGTAGTTGTTTTATTATATGGAGCATGCATACACACACACATATAAATTTAATTAATTTAAATTTTATCCGATACATATTTTTCCCCTTAATTCCATCTCATCCAATCTTCTCTCTTACTATTCCTCACTGTCAAAGCTTGGTGCCTTTCGGCCTCCCCTTCAAGCCCCATCTCCCTCTCTCTCTCTCTCTCTCAAGTGACACAACCATCCCCTATGACACCGCCACAGCCACACCCTGCCCAGGTATGCCTCTTCTCTGTTTCTCTCTCTCTCACACACACATGGCGACAACCCCCCACCCCAAGCTCTCCAATTTCTACAAACCCCCAATCCTATACTTCTCTCTCTTTATCTATCTCTCTCACACACATACACTTGCACACAGACACACGCACCCTTTGTTTCTCTTCCTCACGCACACCCTCTGTTTATCAAGGCAGTAGATTAAGTGATTTCTTATGTTAAAAGGCTATGATTTCAAATTGTTTGTTGTTTTTCCTCAATGAAAATTTTTCATGGTGTTTTTTAGGGTGTTGTTTTCCAAGGATTTTCACCCACTTCTCTCCTCTCTCCAGTGATCCAACACCTCGGAAAGCCCTCTGACCCTTTAAGGTTTGTCTACTTTTCTCCCCCTCTCTCTTCTTTGTTCTTCCTCTTCTTCACCACATTTGC